GATCCTGAGTGTTGCGGTCCTGAGCATAACGGTCCCTGGTGTAACGATCCTGAGCAGGGCAGGAGTATTTGGCGGTGTAGCCTCCACTTCGCTTACTCGATCCAGGGTTGTCATCCCTGTTGTGGCGTGAGCGTTCCGTGGTTGGTGCATCTCTACGGAACCTCTTGCGATCACGGCCACGGAAGGACTCCTCAGGCTTATGCTTTCTCTCCCTGTACTCTTCTCTAGCTTCAGCACGGTCTTTCTCAATCTCGATGCAGCGATCCACCAGAGCACGCAGTGTGTTACTCGCAATACCACCAAACTTCAGCTTGATGTGCGGGTTAAGTCCCTTGCGGTAATAGTACAGCTTCTCCTTCTCAGTGTTCACAACATAGGATGGTGCATAGCGTAGAAGGTTGGTGAAACGAGTAGTGTACTCAGTCACCATGTCCTTTCCCATCTTGATGTTGCGGAACTCCTTGGCTTTAGCCTCCATGATACCCTTAGGAATGTGATACTTAGTAAATGTTTCGGCGAACTCATCCCACGAGATATTGGCAGGGTCCTCATGGGAATCACTGAAACTGTCCCACCATGCGCGTGCTGCACCTGTGAGCTAGTGTGTGGCAGCTCCAACACATTCATCATCGGTGAAAGTGGTGAGATCAAGCTTCTTCTCCACCTCCTTGAGCCAGTCATCGGCTACAAGCGGGTCAGGATCGGTGCCATCATAGGTAGGTGGCCTTAGCTTCAGAAATCCTTCCAGCTTCCTTTGGAAGTCATTCTGCTGACCTCCCTGGCGACGGTTTGCTCCTTCAACAAGGGCTGCAAGAAGCTGGGTCTGCTGCGCCATCACTTCAGCCAAGTTCGGTGGTGGTGGTGGCGGAATGTTCTCCTCAACAGGCAGCGGGGTATTCTCCAGGTTGAAGGATATCCCTCCGCGTCCACGGCCACGGCCACGGCCATGGTTGTTGGCACCACGGCCCCCATTTGGTTCAGCTGGTTCAGGGGTAGGCGCACGCCCATGGTTCATTAGGCGATTTGATCGGCGGTTCGGCATCTACAACACGGATCATAGGAATTTTAGTGCTTGTGCCATAAGTGCTTATAATTCAATATGATTACATGATTTTGACGATTTAAGAAAAATATTTATACTATCCAACACTCATTACAAAGAAGCAATAAGATTCATAAGATGCAATAAGATCCAAAACATTCATTACATGGGTTTTATTACATAGCATCATCTCCAGTAGCTACACTTGAAGACGTGCGAGAATCGTACTACGCATAGTGTCTCATAATACATCTCATAAGGGGTACATCATGGGGTACAACTCATGGAAGCTACTGACATATCTCATGACCACGCAGGGTCATCTACTCTAACTCGTACACCGCAGCTGGGATATGACTGTTCTCGATCTCGATCTCCTCGTCAGACTTGTGAAGTCGGGACATGTACTTCAAGGCCTCGGCGAGCTCCTCAGTAGGCTTGGCTCCAGGTAGAGTAGGGCAGGTGTCGAGGTTGAGGCGAGTCGGTGCTAACTCGAACTCCTCTATCCTAGGCTTCGTCTTGCTGTGAATCTCCTTGGGTAGCTGATCCCACATTCCCTTCATCTCCCTGAGGCGCTTCTTGTCAGACTTCTGCCAAGCCTACCAAGTCCTCTCGCACTTGTCCTATAGGTACTCGGTCTGCCTGAGTGCCTCGATCAGGTGACCCTGGTTGCGAATGGCCTTCTTTCTAAACTCCTCTAGCTCCTGGGTCAAGGTCTTGTTCCGAGATTGGATTTTCAGCATATCAATCCCCTTGGACCTCTCTTTGTCTCCTCTGCGGTTAAACTTGGCCTTCTTGTCGTCCAACTCTCTCTACAACTCTAAGACCTTGCTGTCGAGGTAGCAGTTCATGTTGCCTAGGTCAGCTGCTTTGTCCTATAAGTCAGTGACCTCGGCTCTGTGGACTTCCTCACGACAGTTGAGCTCGTCCTATAGCTTGGCAACTGCCTCGAGCAGACTAGCTCGCTCCTGTGCTCCCTGCGAGTCTCGCTCCTGGCACTCCCACAGAAGAGCCCGGTCCTAACGTCTCTTCTGCTCAAGCTGGGTCACGTACCTGTCCTGCTCCAGTAGGTGAATAGCTGAGACCCGAAGGCATCTGTCCTCCTCTACAAGGATGACTCTACCGGCTACAAAACTCTGCTCACTAGGGGTAAGGCTGAGGTCGAGGGCCTGGGGAAGTAGACGGAACTCAGTCGTCTTCAGGTGCTCGTAGTGGTCCCTCATCACTCTGCGAAGTGCCTTATGTGAGACAGCTCGCAGTCCCTCCTCAATTGTGTCCTCTATGGTCATCTCGGTGAAAGCTGGGACAGAAGGTAAAGTAGTGCTTGCTGGAAACTCGGCTGAGGTGACAGCTGGTCCTAGTGGGTTTCGCTTAAACTAGATAGAGAGATGAGTCCTTCTTTTCTCCCCCTGGGATGAGTGTTCGGACGTAGCCAGGGGCTACGGGCCTTGAGACAGTGCCGAGAGGGAGTTGGCCTGTCGACTGAGCGATGGTATGGGTGTGGTACGATGATGGAGTGGTGAGGATGGGGAGATGGTGGTGTATCGATCCCAGGATCGAAACCTGGCTCCGGAATGGGAATGGGGTGGAATGTGTATGAATGGTGTTAAAACTTGACCAACTATTATTATGAACTTGATATGCTAATACATAGGAAGCCCCAGCCTTATAGGTTCCTCTCGATTGTATCCAACTTGCATCCAATTTCCACAAAGCAACGCTCATAGGGTTGGGAGTGGCCAGTACAAATCGTACTGATAAATTTTGGCACACAGGTTCTGCTGAGGAGTATAGCTCCGAGGAGTATGACGGTTGAGGGATTCGTGCCTACGCTCGAGTTTGGAGATCTTATCTTCAAGCTGTTCTGAATGAATGCTACTTTTGATTCCGTCAAAGCGGCGATGTAATAATTTATGTAATTCCGCACTATTTGAACTCTGATATTATCGTTGTATGGATGTGATATTCGACTGGAAATTGGGTAATATGATCTACAACAGTCTTATTACACATCGACTCTGTGGATTTCCCTTCGTGGAAATCAGGGTTGTTTCAGTGGGGACGAGCAGCGCAAGGCGCGAAACGCTCGTGCAGCGGCGGCATGGTTGAGAGGCCGGTCATGGAACTAGACAGCAATGCGACACAGGTCACACGCACAGGCACGGGTGGTGTGCCCCGGCCATGCCATGCGGCCCAGGTCAGTTTTGAGGAGCTTGAGATTGGCGAGGATGCCTGCGAGCACCGAGAACACAGGATGGAGAGCACGACACCGATGGAAGCGATGAGCAGTCGGTTTGCAGCAGCGCTGGTGACCATAGGCCCTCTCGCGTCTATGACCTGTTCGATGAAATGTCTCGGTTGGGAGTTGCCCTGTCAGCATGCCATGTCACCGCTAGATGCACATTTGGACTGGTATGGACCTACGGTGAACGACTTAAAAAGTTTATGCACCCAGAAATCAACTTTTAAAGTTGATGGACCTTACCGAAACCCCACATATGTTGATGGACCTGTGATGCATTGAAGGCCCTGTTTGGATCCATAGAGATAGTAGTTAGATGCTAATAACTATCTCCTTGGATCCAAACATATCTAGCTAATTGTTAGATAGGTGCACAACTAATAACTATTTCACTAGTTGGACAAAACTAGCTAATAGCAGCTAATATTAGTTGTAACCTATTAGCTAGATAACTATTAGCAGATAATGGATCCACACAGGCCCTAACTCCTTTTTTATTTGTATATTTGTATATAGGTCCTCTTCCATTTGGGCCTATCCTTTGGTAAGAGTGAATTACACTGTGGATCCTTAAACTTTTCTCCACTTCACTACTCGAAACAGAGACTTTGCTGAGTGCAAAATTCTTTGCCGAGTGTCAAAAATCGGGCACTCGGCAAAGAATTGCACTCGGCAAAGAGTTCTTTGCCGAGTGCCCGACACTCGGCAAAGAATAGCACTCGGCAAAGGACTTCTTTGCCGAGTGCCAAACTCTCGGCAAAAGCTCAGCACTCGGCATAGGCTGCCACGCGTAACGGTGTTCGGCCACGTCCTTCTTTGCCGAGTGCCTGCTATTAGGCACTCGGTAAAGATTTATTTAAAAAAAAAAATCTTTGCCGAGTGTCTCAGATCTGGCACTCGGCAAAGCTTTTTTTTAAATACTTTGCCGAGTGCCCCTAACACGGCACTCGGCAAAGATTTAATTTTTTTTTAAAAAAAATGTCTTTGGCGAGTGCCCCTATGAAGGCACTCGGTAAAGAGGAAATTTTTTTAAAAAAAATTCAAAACCTTCTTTGCCGAGTGCCTTATTCTTTGCACTCGACAAAGACCCCCTTTGCCGAGTGTCATGCCCCGGCACTCGGCAAAGTTTTTTTGTTTTTTTTGTTTTTGGCCACCAAATTTTTGTGCAGCCCTTTTAAAGCACCAGGAACTCCTAGTTAGAATTTTGTGGCTTTTTGATATATTTAGTTACTTTATTTCGTTTACTTGAATTTTTTCGAAAAATATAATTTTGAACTGCATGTGGTACGAATAATGGAATTTAATGATTCAAAAAATGATAGTCATGTTACTGAGTGTAGTGTGAGGCTGTATCCAGGAACGGACCCGAAAATTCGGACATCTTGTTCACGAAACATGACCGCAAACTTGCGTGCGAAGTGTTTTTAAATTCTATAAAAAGCAAACGAAGTCCGAAAATCATGAAACTTGTTGAGATATCGTGATATCATATGTGGAGGCTATGATAAAAAATTCAGAAAATTTCGTGCACGTTGTCACGTACGATGCTTATAAACCAGTACATCTCTTCCCCGGCCACCCCTCCCTCTCTTCCACGGCGCCGTCCCCTCCCTCTCTTCCCCGGCGGCGCCTCCCTCTCCTCCCACGCTGCCGCCTCTCCCTTTCCCTTCCCCTCCCGCGACCACACGAGGAGCGTCCCTCTGCCGCGGCGTTCGCATGGCCTCATCGGACGGCTCTGCCGGGGCACCGCCCAGCGCTACCATCGAGGTGCCCGGCACCGCGCCCCCTGTCCTCGTCGTGGGCGCCCCGGGACTCCCCGAGGTGGACTTCAGGTCAGTTCCCCTTCTCCAGTTCTCTCTGATGGAAAGCTCGCTCATGCGATTTGCTGGCCGCGGGCTCTGATAAGCGCAGGAATGCGGTGGAGTCGTCGCTGTTCAAGCAGTGGTTGCGGAACCTGCAGTCGGAGAAGGGCGTCCTCACCTACGGGAGGCTGAGCCTCACGCGGGTCCTCATCCAGGCGATGTGCATTTGTGCAGCTGGCTCGGTCGAATTGATTGATTGTATGACATTGCTCAATTTGCTCTCGTTTGCGTCTGGATTTGCGATGCAGGGGGTTGACACGCTCGGGAAACGGGTGGGCTTTCTCAAGTTCAAAGCTGACATCGTGGACGAGGAAACCAAAACCAAGGTGATTGGTTGGAATGTTCCCGCTGGTATTGTTGTACATTTGATTGGATCCTAGAATGGTCATTTAGGACTAATAATGATGGTCTACGGAGTCCAAATTTCTCATCACAGTTTGATTGATAGTGATGTGAGGTGTTTCTCCTAGTAAACATATGCATATGTGATTGTACTTTTCCTGTCTTTTCCCCTTTACAATTGATAATGTATTGCTGTACTGGTGAGGAGCTAATGAATAGAGATAGATCGGTGCAGCAAATGAGTAGAATAGATGGGTGCTTAGGGTGGATGTGGCCCAGCCTTTGCTTATGCTGAATATATAGGCTGAAGCACACTTTAGAAGTGTATTTTCAATTTTGTGATGACTTTGCTTTTTAGCCTTGACTATGGCACTGAATGTTACGTGTACCATGATAGTCTGAAGTATGTTTTCCATTGTGTGCTTATTAAAATCTTTGTGTGATATACTGATATCTTTCCTGCATCCGCTGATGAATTTTTCGCCTTTAAATCGATTTGCGGGGTCTCTACTCTCTAGCACTAGCAGGATGATGGTTTAGTTCTTACCATCTTTTGACAGTATATATAGGTTCCAGGAATTGTCTTTGCAAGAGGGCCCGCGGTTGCTGTGTTGATTATTTTGGAGTCTAAGGGGGAAACATATGCTGTGCTTACTGAGCAGGTATAGTGTATCATGATTTAGAGCACATGGTTTGATTCAGTAAGCAAATTCACCTATTGACTGCCATCAAAATTGTAGGTTAGAGTTCCTGTTGGAAAATTCCTGTTGGAGCTGCCAGCTGGGATGCTAGATGATGAAAAAGGTGATTTTGTTGGCACTGCAGTCCGTGAGGTTAGTATCTTGGCTTCTGAATACAGCATGAACTGAAATTAGCCAGCCTTGCATTGATCCTGTTTTTGCCTGGTTTTGATTCAGAATTTCAGATTGCACAAGCTGTAATGCATTTCTGTTGTGGTCAGAATTTTAGATGAATCTGTTAAGTACCAATTGTTGTATACAATATTCTTGTGGCGCTTATCCTTAATTGCTGTCCGGTGGAAGAAGAGACTGGTATAAAGCTGAATATAGAGGACATGGTTGATCTTACGGCACTGCTGGACCCTGCTACCGGAGGTCGAATGCTGCCATCACCGGTAACTGGCCAACATTTCCCTTAGTTTGCTACTGTCTGCCAAAACTTCTGTTCACCTGGTTAAACTTAATCACTATTTCCACGGCGCCGGCCCCTCCCTCTCTTCTTCTGCGCAGGTCGACCAGAGCGAGGCAGCACAACGTTCGGATCAGTGGACCTGAATGGGCTAGGTAGACAGAGAATGCAACTTCCCTGGAACCTGTCCAGTGTTCACGTTCTCATGGTGCAAAGAAAAAGCAAAGCTGCTGGATATGCCGAGAATTTTTTTTCTTTGGAAAATAGGTTTGCCGAGTGTAATTCTAAAAACAAAAAAAAATTCAAACTTTGCCGAGCGCCGGCCAGGGGGCACTCGCAAAGAATTTTTAGAAAAGAATAAAACATCTTTGCCGAGGGCCGGATAGAGGGCACTCGGCAAATAATTTAAAAAAAAAAAAAAAAAAAAATTTGCCGAGTGGCACTCGGCAAATAATTTTTTTAAAAAAATAAAAAATCTTTGCCGAGTGCCTGAAGGGTTGGCACTCGGCAAAGAAATTTTGTAATCTTTGCTGAGTGCCTGCAGGGTTGGCACTCGGCAAAGTGACCGTCAACGGTGCCGGCGCCGTAACTTTTCTTTGCCGACTGTCCCCGGGGCACTTGGCAAAGCCTTTGTCGAGTGCCCGATAAAAGACACTCGGCAAAGAGGGATTTGCCGATCAATTTTTTGCCGTGTGTTCTTTGTCGAGTGCCGCACTCGGCAAAGGCTTTGCCGAGTGCAATTTGGCCTTTGCCGAGTGCCTCAGGCACTCGGCAAAGAACCTAAATCCAGTAGTGCTTCTCACTTAGATCCATGAACTTTTTTTCGCTTTTCTGGGTCTATGAACTTTGTTTACGTCCTAGCCACCATCCAAAAGAGGCCACATAGGTCTCTGCTGCCTACATGGCCGCTGATGTGGCGCCACGTGCTCCTTTTTTATTTCACTAGCAAACATGCCTATGCGTTGCAACGGAAGAGAATCAAGATCCATATCTCTACTCGTTACTGAAGATATGTATATTTTGCATTTAATCCATCAACAATGAAGCAATAATTAAATTAGAACATTCACCATCTATAAAAGTGCAATTTAGAATAATGCCAGCCAAATTAACAAATTCCTTATGTTGTGCAAAATAAGTAGATATACACAAACATATTTAATAATCCAAGAAAGAGCTTAAGAGTTTAATCATCATTGCAAAATCATCAAGCTAGCAGCTTTATTCAAACTGGAAAAAATACAGGTTACTGTAGTTGATATGATAAACCAGGTTAAGAATTTAATCGTTGCATAAAATTTAAGAAAAGGCAAGGCCAAATATTACAACCTGTTAGCCCATAGGAACTGGTATTTGTGTATATATGAACCCTTTAGAAAAACAAAGGAACATAACCTGTCTGTTGGAAGCTGTAATACAACATATGGATAATTGGATATGCTTATGTACCTCAGTAACCATCTCGAGCAAACGATCTTTCTTCCAATTGTCCAGTAGTCGATGAGACACATGTAAGATGCATATGGATGGTGGCTACTCAGTTTGTTCTTTCTCAGATTGCCGTATCCATAGAACTGTGATTGACCGATCATTAAAATGAGGTGAACATTTTGCATCTGGTTGACATTGTTCAGTGTATTCGTTGGATTCATAACTGGAGATGAGTTTGAAGGGATATGATTTGGCAGCGGATGGTTCATGTACGGTACTCTTGGCAGGTGACTTAGGCCTTGTGTTTCAGGGATGCAAAGCAACCTGAATTTATGCCTAGAGCCATCGGTGGCATAAATTGGTGAACTCTAGGAAACATCATTGACTCCATTCCAGACAAGAACGAATAGCATTGAGCATCCAAATATGAACACGGACTTACCAAGCTCAACACCAGATTCTTCTTTAGATATTTCTGCACATTAGCAATTTGACTGGTATAAACTTGCACGGATCCCTGAGAAAGCAACTGACCTTCCAAGCAGGAGAAGCCAACATAAGGCGGTCAGACTGAGCAGGATCTGAAGCTTAAGTAGCAGAATTAACTGAACCCTCTTTACATGAACAATAAGGATCAACACAAATATGTCAAGTTGATCTTCGCGCGCGTTAGGGGCTGGAGCGTGGCAGTCATGCACACGCGCACCTGGCTCGGTTCGGCGCGGATCGACGACGGGTGGGCAGAGATGGAGGCGCGCATCGAGCTATGCACGCCTGCGCATCGAGGCCGCGACAGCGGCACCCACACCATCGTCTGCTCACGCGTTGAGGCCGCAGCGGCAGCTCGGCCCCCCGTCGAGGTTCTGTGCATCGAGGTTGTACCCGCGGTGCCCGCTCTGGAGGCCTAGCGGCTTCTCCTCTCACGCGGATCCGAAGGGACAGCAGCTCGAATTTGAGACCATGGGTTGGTCTGGTGGGAGATGGAGGAGGCCATGGCGTGGAGTCACACATTGATTTGAGACTGCCAAGAGAAAGATGAGGACATGTGGTGTGGGATCTCGAGGATTGAGGAGGTCATATCACCGCGATTGCAGGCGAGAACGGGACGGGGAAGGAGTGGCGCATCCGAGACAGCGAGAACACATCACTTCATCAATCCAAAGATGTGCCAGCCTGACCTCTTGAATGTTCTTGTTTGGATGTGTCCGTGTGTGTTTGTAAGATTGATGTGACTGTACGCGCTTGCAGTTAAGTACTTGCATCTATGATATGTTCTTTTGAGAAAATGAGAGGCACATATGCTTTGACCATGGCCAGTCAAACCAGGTGCACGTATACCAAGCAAAACATAATATAAGTTCACGAGTAATAAACATATATGTGTCCAAAGTCTTACCTCTTAATTATTGTTTTTAGTAAATATTCAGTGCATATTATTTTAACTAGAACCTAAATTGTACATGCCACCATAATACTGTAGACACAAAAGGAAATCTTTGTAGCCCATGAACTTAACAACACCAAGGTCACTAAATCAGCTAGATCCTATGGGTAACAATTTCAATGATGGTAGCGACGAAGTACGAAACTTCTTGGCCAAAAAAATTTATGATGAATACTGAAAGCATCTAGGCCCCTAATTGGGTTTCGGTGATTAATGACAATACGAGATTACTATGATTAACGTGTGCTTTGCAAAGGCAATTTAAGTTAGGTCATGGTAATAGCAATTGATTGGACAATCATGGCTGTCATGCCCCTACGATGGAAATCATTTCGGTTTTCAAAGGATGGACGACAAGGTTAAAAATGGACTAGTTCTAAGTGTCGTTTGGTGTTGAAGAGACACTTAGAGTAGTTTAGGACTTTATTTTTCCTTTAGTTGTACTATTAAGGGGGTATGGACGAGTAGCTTGACCTAGGTGAGTCTACTGAGTTAGGTGTGGTGCACACTTGTCAAATCTAGCACTAGGTAGCTCCGGAGTAGCCCTAAGATCAATTGGAGCAAACTTCATTCACATATGATTTCGAGTTGGAAGTGAATGCAGGGTCAAATGACTGACCAGACGCTGGTCTGGTTGTGACCGGACGCTGAAGGGTTAGTCCGGTCAGTTCATTTGATCAACTGGAGCCGTTTGGTTGCGACCGGACGCTGAGTGAAAAGTGACCGGACGCTGGGTGCCAGAGTCTGGTCAACTCCAGGGAGGTTCCAGAGAGGGAGATTTCTGATCGGACGCGTCCGGTCAGTGCTGACCAGACGCTGGTCAGGATCCGGTAACTGACCGGACATTGAATAGCGAAGTGGCCGGACTCTGGGTGCTAGCGTCCGCTCAACATTAGTAAGGTTCTAGAGAGCGTTTTTCGTGACCGAACGCGTCCGGTCAGTTCTGACTGGACACAGGTCAGAGTCCGATCAGAACTTAATGGTTCTTTCTGACACAGTGGCGGAAATAACTGACCGAAGCGTCCGGTCACCCCATAGAGTGATGACTCAACCTCCAAACGTTATGTGTTGAATGAGGGGGTATAAATACTTAATCCACTCGTCCAAGGGAGGTCTCTTGCCCATTTGTTCAGTTGAGAAACACCCTTGAGAGTGCAAAGGAGAATAAGAGCCTAGTGAGGTGATTGAGATTTGAGAATTCAAGATTAAGGCATCATTAGTGCAAGGAGAGTAGCAAGTGTGCATCTACCCTTCTCATTAGGCTTGTTGTGGTCAAGTGAGAATTCGTGCTTGTTACTCTTGGTGATCGCCATCACCTAGACGGCTTGGTGGTGATCAGAACTTTGGTGATCATTCAGCGAAGCTTATGGATGACCCAACTCAAGTTATGAGCGATTGTGGGCGATTCACCGCGATGGAGTGTCAAAGAATCAGCCCGTAGAGAGCACTTGATTCTTGTGCGGATCAAGGGGGAGCTACACCCTTGCGCGGGTGCTCCAACGAGGACTAGTGGGGAGTGGCGATTCTCCGATACCTCGACAAAACATCACAGTGTTCCTTCTCCTCTATTTAATCATTTATATTTGAGCAATTCATTTCTTGTCTTTACATTCTTATAATTGTCATGCTAGAGTAGGATAGGAACCTAGGGTCCAAAACTTTTGTGTGGTAGAACAATAGGAACACATTCTAGGCACAAGGGGTGAAGTGGGCTAAGTGTAGGGTTTAACTATTGAAAAGAATTTTAGAATTAGCCCAATTCACCCCCTCTTGGGCATCTTGATCCTTTCAAATACGAAGTTTAAATTATCATCCCATGAATAAATTAAACAAAATTTTGTTGAGGGACACCACACTTGAGTGGAATTGGCTACTCAACAGGCTAGCTCACTTTTCTGCTAGGTAGCTTTATCAAAG